GTGTTGGGGCTGGTGTGGAGTTCGGAGAAATACTACTTCCGAGCCTGATCAGGCTCGGGAAAATGTTCTGCGAATGCCGCCACGCGCGCCCATGCCGATTCACAACGTGTTGGGAATGTCCACAACACTTCCGCCCGTCATGTTGTAGTGCACTCGTGCTATTTGAAGACAACAATGGGCCTTCAGTGCGCGCAATGACCTGTGATGTTTTCAATTACCCATTCCGTTTGGAAGCAATGGCACATGCCAATGCCAATGTGCCTTGCGGTGGTCTCTTGTGCAATATGCCAATCCGGATCACCACCTCGATGTGTGAGGACGTCTCAAGCGGAACCGGGCCGAAACCATGCCAAACCAGGGCCAAACCAGGCGAAGTGTGAGTACGTCTCAAACGGAACGGCGCCCAAACCAGGCCAAACCAAGGCCATCGAGAACGTCTCAAGCGAAACCGGGCCCAAACCAGGCCTAACCAGGGGCCAAACCAATCAAATTTAGAGGACGTCTCAAGCGACCCTAGGCTCAAACCAACCAGGCCAAATCAGGGGTCAAGCCACACAAGTTCTGATGCTGTTCCAGGCGGGGCGCGCAGCCAAACCCGGCCAAACCAGGGGCCAAACCAATCAGATTTTGAGGATGTCCAGGCTCCGTCCACTCTCCTTAATCAAATTCTGAATCAAGGAGTGGGTCTTCCCAGGGCCGCTCCCGCAGGCGAAGCCCGTTTCGAACTTTAGCAGGGGGCGGGGGGCGTCTGGACCTCGCGTCCGCTGCTGCGGACGGGCTTGGACGCATAAGCCTTCACTTGTCTTTCGTGCGTTGTCGGGGTTCTGGTGTGGCGGTCGGAGAAACTCTTACGAGCCTGATCAGGTTAGGGAAGGTTTTCTGCGAATGCCGCCACGCGCGCCCATGCCGATTCACAGCGTGTTGGGAATGTCCACGCCACTCCCGCCTGTCATTTTATAGCGCAACCGTACTATATGGTGATCACAATGGCTCTTCATTGCGCACCGGGCCATCCCTTCGGTCTGTAGGGCCTACCACGACCTGTGTCAATTATTCATTCAGTACCGAAGAACGATTGGGACATCCCAGTGTCTTCAGATTGTTTCTCTTGTACAAGATGCCAATCCGAATCATCACCGAAAATTGTATGGACGGCTCAAGGGGAACGGGGCCGACACCATGCCAAACCAGGGCCAAACCGGAAAACTGCGAGGACGTCGCAAAGAAACCGGGCCCAGACCAGGCCAAACCACTGCCAAACCAAGCGAACTTCGAGGACGTCTCAAAAGAAACCAAGCCCAAACCAGGCCAAACAAGTGCGAGACCAAAGACATCTTGAGAACGTCTCACGATTAACCTGGCCCAAACCAGGCCACACTGGGGGCCAAACCATGCAGATGTTGAGGATGTCTCAGGCGGGGCGCGCGGCCAAACCAGGCCAAACCAGGGGCCATTCCAAACAGATTTTGAGGACGTACAGAGCAGAATCGCCCAAAACAACGTACAGCTCGCCCCTTGGCCCCTCGCCAGCTTCACGTCAAGGGGCGAGCATATGTAAGGGCGCAGCTCCGCACAGGATGCGTAGCCTGCGGCTGCGCAAGGCAGGGCCCCCTGGCTTAAACAAGCGAAATATCCTCACCGCCCTGACTTAAAGCTGCCACTGCAATATCCTCCCACCCCTCGCTTGAAATTGCGAGTGAAACATCCTCACCCCCCTGGCTTAAAACTGCCAGCGAGATATCCCCACGCCCCTGGCCTAAAACTAGCAGCGAAATATCCTCACAGCCCTCGCCTAAAACTGCGAGCGAACTATCCCCTCACCCCTCGCTCAAAACTGCCAGTGAAATATCCTCACCGCTCTCACTTAAGACTGCCAGCGAAATATCCTCACCCCCTCGCTCAAACTGCCAGCGAAAGATCCTCACACACGTCGCATCAAACTGCCAGCGAAGTCTCCGAACTATCTTCACACCTCTCGCTTAAGACTGCCAGCGAATATTCTCACACCCCTCACTTAAAACTGCCAGCGAAATATCCTCACCGCCCTGAAGTAAAACTGCCAGCGAAATATCTCAAACCCCCTTGCTTAAAACAGACCGCGAAATATCCTCGTGCCCCTGGCCTAAAACTGTCAGGAAGATATCCTGAACCCCCTGACTTAAACCTGCCAGTGAACTATCCTCACCGCCCTCACTTACAATTGCCAGCGAAATATCCTCACAACCCTGGCCCAAAACTGCCAACGAAATATCCTCACCACCCTCGCTTAAAACTGCAAGCGACATATCCTCACACCCCTCGCTTAAAACAGCCAGCGACAAATCCTAAAACTGCCAGCGAAAGATCATCACCGCCCTGACTTAGAGCTGCCAGCGAAATATCCTCACCCCCCTGGCCTTAAAACTGCCAGCGAAATATCCTCAACACCCTGGCCTAAACTGCCACCGAGATATCCTCATCCACGGAATTAAAACTGCCATCTAACGGTTCTGGTGATTCAGTTCAGTTCTGTCAGTTAATTCTGTTTGTCAGTTCTGTCTACTTCCCGAAAATCAAATTTACAAGCTTCGCCCGTAAACCAGGCTCCGTCCACTCTCCACTCAACCCCAGGTCCCTCCCCGCATGCGGAACCCCGTTCAGAATTGCATGGGGGGACGGGGCGCTTGGACCGCGCGTCCGCTGATGCTGGCGGGTGCTGGGCGCAGAATCCTTCATTTGCCTCTCGGGTGTTGTTGAGGCTCTGGTGTGGCGTCAGGAGAACCACTTCTGAGCCTGATCAGGCTCGGAGAGGTTTTCTCCGAACGCCGCCACACGCGCCCATGCCGATTCACAACGTGTTGGGAATGTCCACACCCATTCCGTCTGTTATGTTGTAGCGTGGCCGTGCTATATGTGGACCGCAAGGGTCTTCATTGCGCACAATGCCACTACCTCGACATTGTACACCCGCAGTAGCATGTGTTAATTACCCAGTCCGTTTCGAAAGCATGGCACATGCCAATATGCCTCGCAATGGTTTCTCTTGTGCAGTCTGCCACACGCGCCTACTTTTGCTTTTATACACCCACCGCGACTGTGTTCATTGTTCATTCAGTGTAGAAGCGTTGCGTATCTCATAATGTCTTGCGATCGTTCTCTTTTGCAATCTGCCAGTCCGAATCATCCTGGAAATTGTGAGGACGTCTCAAGCGGAACGGGGCCGGAACCATGCCAAACCAAGTCCAAACCGAACAAGCTGCGAGAACGTCTCGAGCGCAACCGGGCCCAGACCATGCCAAACCAGGGCCAGACCACGCAACTTCCGAGCACGCCTCGGGCGTAACCTGGCCCAAACCAGGCCGCACTGGGGGCCGAACCATGCAGGTTTGGAGGATGTCTCGGGCGGGACGCGCGGCCAGACCAGGCCAAGCCAGGGTCCACACCAAACAGACTTTGTAGACGTCCTGAGCAGCATCGCCCAAACCAGGCTCCATCCACACTCCTCAGTACAACTCTAAGTCACAGAGGGGATCACCCTAGGGCCCTCCCCGCAGGCGGAACCCCGTTTAGAATCACATGGGGTGTGGGAGTGTGCGTTTGTACCGCGCGTCCGCTGATGCGGACGGGATTGGTCGCAGAACCCTTCATCTGCCTTTCGGGTGTTGACGGGGCTGTGGTGCGGCGTCAGGGGAAATATCTCCGAGCCTGCAGGTGGGAATATCTGATCCAGAGCTCCCCCCCCGCCGGGTCACCCCCCCCTCCCGCTGGACGGGCACGCTCGTGAGCCTGGCGAATGGGATCTCCCCCCTGACCCCCCTTGTGATCGCGGGTCTGCGGGCGAGGCGTGGTGGAGGGGGGTGCCGGTGCCCCCGCCCCGTGGGTGTGGGGTGGTGGTGCGGTGCCGTCGTCGTCGCCGTCGTCGTCGTCGTCGTCGTCGTCGTCACCGTCATCGTCGCCGTCGCCCCCCCGGTGGTCGGGTGCGCCCGTGATCCTCGCGAAGGCCTCGCGAATGGGATCTCCCCCATGCCCACCCCTCCCTCTGTGTTCGTAGGCCTGTGGGCGTGGCGTGGTGGAGAGGGTTGCTGGTGCCCCCGCCCCTCGCCCTGTGGGTTGATGCGGTGTCGTCGTCGTCGTCGTCGTCGTCGTCGTCGTCGTCGTCGTCGTCGTCGTCGTCGTCGTCGTCGTCGTCGTCGCCGTCGCCGTCGCCGTCGCCGTCGCCGTCGCCGTCGCCGTCGCGTCGCCGTCGCCGTCGCCGTCGCCGTCGCCGTCGCCGTCGCCGTCGCCGCCGCCGCCGCCGCCGCCGTCGCCGTCGTCGTCGTCGTCGTCGTCGTCGTCGTCGTCGTCGTCGTCGTCGTCGTCGTCGTCGTCGTCGTCGTCGTCGTCGTCGTCGTCGTCGTCGTCATCGTTCCCGTCGTCGTCGTCGTAGTCATCGTTCCCATCGTCGTCGTCGTCGTCGCCCCCCCCTTCAATATGGGGGGTGCCGAAGGAACCCTCAAATCCCCAATCCCGTCTACGGGGGGGGGTCCTGTGAACCCTCGACCCGGGATCATCTTAGGTTGTTCCCGTCGGGTTTCGAGGGGCCTATCCCCAACTGGGGTGGGGTGATGGTGGGGCTGAGTTACGATGGCCCTGGGGATGGGTCAAACGATACTGCTCCCCCTTCCCCACCGCCACCCTCCTCTCCCTTCTGCTCTGCTCCTCCTCGGTCCTACTCCGCCTCCGCCTGCTGCACCGCGCAGCACGAGTGGAACGCTGGGGAACCTGGTAAGGGCAAGCGGCACGTAGGCGGCGCTGCAGGGATCCCCACGGCCCCCCCTCTCGAGACTGGCGCCCCCCGTGGAGATACCAAGCGACTTCAACTGCGACTCGCACACGAAAAGCAATCCGCCCATCTTAGGGCGGGACGACACTGCTGGCACAGATCAGACACTACCACGGACAACTTTTCTGTAAAGAACCCTCCTCGACCACCGCCTCCTCAGCATGCTCTCTCTCTCTCTCTCTCTCTCTCTCTCTCTCTCTATATATATACATCAATGCCCCGACCTTGCCGCTCTCTCCCGTCAAAACGCCTGCAGCCTATAGCCCGTCTGCCACAGAAATGTCATCAGAAAACGGGTGGGTCAAGTTGAACACATCTGGCCAAGCGGCACTGCAGCCCGCGGGGCTGACTTCAGTGGCGAAACACACCTCTCGCATGAAAGAAACGAATGCTGTGGGAAATGGTTCCTGGACCACGGAGCCTTCTCCCAAGATCAATTCTTCTTCCCGAAACGTTCTCTGACGGTCCCGGGGCCCTGGGACTGCCCCTGAAGTGCGAAAACGGCGAAACCCTGAGGACCCGTTCCCTTCATGCGAACACCTGCGCGAACTGAACCCACTTCGCCATGCCGGGCACGTCCACCACGGACGCAGGCTCGAGCGAACCGCGGTTCTGCCTGTACCACGCCTGCACCTCCGCGTCGCCCCGGAAGAGGTCCCCGCTCGCGAGCTGCTCGACTGCCGTCTCGGGGGAATAGTACCTCTTCGTGGCAAGCTTGCCCGAACCGGGGGGGGGCCTGGGGCGCGTCCATTCGAACGAGACGCCATAGGTGACGAGGTTGTGGTGCGCCACGAAGATGGTGGAGAGCGGCACTCCAGTGCCCGTGATGTTCGGCAACATGTACTCCTGCGGGCCGTACGTCTGGATGAGGTTGGTGAACGTTTGGAACGCTAGCAGGTCTTGGGTCTCAATGAGGTCGCAGGTGAGCTTCATGTACCCGCGTTGGACATACGATGACATGACAGTAAGGGACCACGCTTCGAACGTGTTGCATTGGGACATCAGCATCATATGAGCATTCGCAGAACCTCATTGCTGCTGGTTTCATTGCCAGAAGTATGAGACAACAGAATCAGGTGCAATTCTTGGCAGCAACACCTGCATGAACGCCCTGAAATGCACGGTTCAGCCTCCACACCACACAGCTCCGCCAGAGATTATCCTTGCGATTGCACCGAAAAGCCTATTCGGCTTATCTCCGCCGAGGGCATCTGCGCGGAGCGCCATGGTGTGGAACGAGGCCCAGAAAGAACATGCTCGCAACCACACCGTCTTGCCATGAGGCCAATCTCCGGGTGTCCACTCTTGTTGGCAAGCCCCCAAAGGTGGCGCCCCCTTGAGGACAAAATTGCGATATGGCATGACAAGTGCACTCTGTATCAACGACCCATTTTCGTCCCGAAACCTGGTGAGCGGAATCCACCAGCCTTTCGGGCGTGAGTGGTTGAGGGCGTTTCCTCTTCCAACCCCTTCTTCCCCTGCAGAGAAGGGTTTATCACTGTTCCCTATTAATATACATCCCCTCCCCCAGGCGACTGGGAGCCAACCCAGGTCCATGAGGGCCCCCCCACCATCCCTTGTAACAAACAAGACAAGCACACTCTCTGCCCCCACCATCCTTTGTAACAAACCATACAAAACACACTCTGTCTCCAAATTCGGAGCATGACCAGCGAATCCGATGCGGCCTCCCCCCACCATCCCTGGAAACAAAACACTGCAGAATACACTTGGCGGCGAAGGCGGCGGCTGCGCCGGCTGCGGCGGGGGCAGCGGCTGCGGCGGCTGCGACGGTGGCGGCGGCGGGCGGCGGCGGCGGGAGCGGCGGCGGTGGCGGCGGCGGCGGTGGCGGCGGCGGCGGCAGCGTGGCGGCAGCGACTGCGGCGGCAGCGGCTGCGGCGGCGGCGAATTGGCAGCGGGGGCGGCGGCGGCGGCAGCGGCGGGCAGTGCGGCGGCTGCAGCGGCGGACAGCGGTGACGGCGGCTGCGGCGGCGCGGCGTCGGCGGCGGCGGCGGGCGGCGGCGGCGGCGGAGGCGGCGGCGGCGGCGGATTGGCCCCCAGTAACTGGCCATTCAAAGACGACTGCTGCATATGCTGCGGCTCGGGCCAGGCTCGGGTGCTACGTATGTGTTGGGAGGGCGGGTGGGAGTGAGCGAGACGGCTTGCGGGCGGGGAGGGCGTCTTGACCCCTCCTCCCACCCCCTCCCCTGGACCTGAACGGAGCGTCCCGCGACCCATTGGAGCGTCCAAGATGGCCTCAGCGAGATGGCCCACATCATTGATTTGACTTAGGTTTTGGGCCCATTCGGGCCTCCGTGGGGGTAACCCTAATTGAGCCCCCTTCTTTGATTGATCTCCTCCGAGATGGCCCCAACATGGCCCCCGAGACTCCCAAAGTGCCCTAATAGGGCCCCAGGAGGCGCCCAGGAGGCCCCAAGAGGCCTCCAAGAGGTCCCCAGGAGGCTCTTCAGAGACCCCCAAGATGCCCCAAGAGACTCCTCCGAGGCACCCATGACGCTCTAGGAGACCTTCATGACCGCCAAGAGGCCCCCAAGACGCCCCAAGAGAACTCACAGAAGCTTTCAAGGGACATCCGAAGAGACTCCGAGAGGCATCCAAGAGACCTCTGGCCACTCTGCTCGCCCTCCTCTCCTCCTCCTCTCCTCCTCCTCCTCCTCCTCCTCCTCCTCCTCCTCCTCCTCCTCCTCCTCCTCCTCGTCATCCTCTTCCTCATCCGCCTATTCCTCCTAGTCCCTCCTCCGTCCCCCGCCCTCTCCCTCCCATTCCTCCTCCGATTTCTCCTCCATCCCCCCCCCTCTTGGGGTATGACGGCTTCCCCTGACACCTTATTCCACTGCATGCTCATGCGCATCCCTGATCAGGGCAACTCGCCTGGGTATCGTTTCTAGATGGACTGATGGAGTTGCGCGTAGCGCCCAACATTGGAACTGGATCCGTCGGGCCGCATCCGTCCCTGCCAGCGCACGTAGGCAAGACCATGTCTTCCGTGATATTGATGCATGCCCATGCCTCGGCCGCCTGGATCTCAACCAACATCTCATCATCACACTCGTCATCGCTGTCACACTTGACCATGTTTTGATGGAAGCTGCCGCGGCAAGACTCGACGGGGTGCAGCTCGGGGAGCAACCTGGCTAGGTCTATCGCAGCACGCTGAGCCTGCAGGAGGCCCGGGAAACTGGACTCGGGCTTGCTGAAGTTAAACGCCATAGCTTCGCATTCGAACTGGTAGAACGAATCCGTCGTTCTGCAGAACTCGCGCCTGCCCTCCGCCTGATCGCGCAGATGTGGCCCCAGCGTTTGGACGCCGTAATAGCCGAGCATCAGGAGGTCGTGGAGGGCGACGAGATCCGTGGCGACGATCTCCCTGGGCGGGCCCGCAGCGGAGGAGGCGACCACCTTGCGGGACTGCAGGTACGACGAATCCTCGTCCACGTCCGCTGCGCACTCGGCACCGGCGCACTCGCCGCCCGCCCGGCTGCTGCGCTGCGGCGCCGCGCGCACGGCGGCGGCCCACAGCAGCAGCGCCGGGGCGAGGGCGCGCATCGCGGAGAGCTCCCCAGAACGAAGCCCAGGCCGCGCGCGGGTCTGGGCCACGGCCGGGCCTCGCGGTGCGACGCGGCCAGGGCCTTCAGCCGCTCGGCCGCGATGTCTTGAGCCGAACCGACCACGGACAGGGACGCTGCCATGTCTGAGAGCCGGGAGTGGCATCGCATGTCCCACCCTTGTTGACGCCGCCGAGCGACATCGTAGATCGTGTGAGGCTTGGGCCATCGAGGGTAACTTCTAGAGGGACAACACAAGCTCCCAAACCAACCCACTGCCGCAATTGGCGGACCTTGCTCGGCGGCCTGCTGGAACCGCGACACCGCTCGCTGAAGAAGACCCCGTCCTGGCTGAGAGGGCACAACGTAGCGATACTACTCTCTGGTCCTCTCCCGAGGTGCGCTCTGACCAAGATTTCGAGGCGAACGCAGCCGTTATGATGACGGAAGGGTAGCGGTATTGGTATATGTTCTTCCTCTGACTGGTTGGCCACCTGACCACCCCGACTCCTCAACGGACGATAACGGAAGCGGACGATCGGTGGATGCTCGCGTCGGTCGAACCGTCAAAACTTGTCGGCACGATAAACGAAAATACTTTCAATGTCGTCGACGGCGGGCGTCCATGTCGTCCGGAGGTCTGCGGGCGCCACCGATCTCGAGCACCATCCCCAAGACGGCCCAAAAATGACGATAGACGACTGAAACGGCCCCACAAAAGAGACCAGGTGCCAGGAGATCCTCCACGAGGACTCGCGAGCGTCGTCGTCGTCGTCGTCGTCGTCGCTGCCGTCGTCGTAGTCGTCGTCGCCCTCCTTCAAGGTCGGCGGCACCGGCCGTAATCGGCCATCGCAACATTGCCCGGGAATGGAGTTCTGGGAACTCGAACAGCACGAAGTGGCCTACAGGTGGCTCCGGGCATTCAAAATGTGGCCCGGGAACGGAGTTCTGGGAAATCGAAGACCACGACGTGGCCTACAGTTGGCTCCGGGCATTCAAAATGTGGCCCCAGAAAAGTTCTGGGAACTCGAAGACCACGAAGTGGCCTACAGTTGGCTCCGGGCATTCAAAATGTGGCCCAGGAATGGAGTTCTGGGAAGTCGAAGAGCACGAAGTGGCCTACTATTGGCTCCGGGCATTCAAAATGTGGCCCGGGAATGGAGTTCTGGGAACTCGAAGACCACGAAGTGGCCTACAGTTGGCTCCAAGTATTCAGAATGTGGCCCGGGAATGGAGTTCTGGGAGGTCGACGAACACGAAGTGTGTGACTATTTGCGAAAAGCGCATTCGGACACGAGTTCGGACACAGCTCCCCGGATGCCGCCCCGACCCCCCTGTGGAGTCATCTGCTGCTCTCTTTTGACCCCACTAGAAACCTATCAGCAAAAGCTGTTAAGTAAAAACCGATTTTTCCGCGAACAGAACCCCATCAACGAATTTTCGGGGGGGGGCGCTGCGCCCACCAAAACACCACCGCCGATCTTTCCCCGCGGAGGGCGCGCCATCGCGCCCTGATGAACGGTCCCACGGCTGAAACCCATCAAAACCATCTCCCAGAGACCCCACGGGAAGACCCGAAGGAAAGACCCAAACCTCGGACTCGGACTCCTGGTCAAGCAGCCTCGCCACGGACCCCTGTACACCAGGCTCCGCGTCGCCAGTCCTGCGACGGCGGCGTCGCCGGCGGCAGAGGCGCGCCCCGCAGCACGAAATCCACGAGATGACGTACAGCAGCAGCTTGTAGGTCAGGCCCAACCGCCAGAGCCAGACGAAGATCCGGCACGGCGAGAACTTCGAGTAGTCGCTGAGGTCGACGATGGCTTCGTCGTCGATGGCCGCGTACTCCTTACAGTGCAGCTCGTTCTCGCGCCCCTTACACCAAGTGCAGCTGGCCGAGCGGCACAGGTGGAGCCAGCGTGGGTCGCGCTGCTCGAGCTCGCGTCGGAAGCCCTTGTCGCTCGCGCCCTTCACGGAGTCGCACTCGACCCAGAGGCCTTGGCGGTTGATGCGCTCCGGGGACTTCATGTTGAGCTTGAGCCGCGCAACCCGATAATCGACCCTGATCAGGAGGTCGTTCTGGCCACGCTTGGAGCCCCTGCCCTCCTTGACGCTCTTGCGGTACCAATCTGCGGTTGGGTCCGCACCCACGGCTGGGCCGTGCCATGCCACATCGGTTAGAGGCGGGGCCGCCGGCTGGGCCAGCTTGTCAAGCTTGGCTTCGCCAGGCGTCTTGCGTCGCGGGCAGGGGCAGCATGCCGCTGCCAGGCCGCGCGCCCATGCCGCCCAGCTGCAGGGAGCGAAGAGCGTCCTCAGGCTGTGGGCCAAGAGTGCGACCACGCCGGTGCTGGCGAGGATCGCCGCGAGCCCGGCGACCAGCGGCCGCGCGGAGCCGAACAGGTAGAGGCCCATCTGGTCGGCCATGTAGAGCACCCAGCCGCCGTCCGAGCTCAGCCAGCCTCCTGCCTCACGGGTCGAAAACGCGGACCTGAAGCTGCCGAAAGCCCTGAAGGTGCCCCCGCCCATCCCCTCGGCAAACCAATGCGCGCGGTTGCCGATGTCTTTCCAACTGACGCCGAAAAGACCCCAACCCCCGATCCAGGACGAAGAGTTCGAGTCGGAGGGGTTGGGGGGAGCATGGGTCGGGCCCCGGGGAGGAGGGTCGGCCGGCGGCGCGGGGCGCTCGCGCGGCGGACCCCCTCCGGCACCTCCTGCGGGAGCGTCGTGCTCGTCCTCGGGGTGCGCCCCGATCGGCAGCGCGTCCCCGCGCAGGAAGGGAATCGTAGTGCCGTCGAGCCAAAATGGCTTCATGTCCGCATTCGGCGCGTCGTCGTAGTACGACTGGCACTCGTACCCGGACTCGCAGACTCCTTGAGCATCCAATACACCAATATATTGCAAACACCAATATATCAGGATTATCTTAAAATCTCCTCCGTTACGACTTTCTGTCAAAATTCGCACCCAAGAAAATGCCCCTATAGGGGCGTCGCCTTCT